AAGAGGCCATGTACACTTTTACTAGGAAACACTTTTACTGGGAAAATGTTCCCAGGAGAAAGACTGGGTGTAACCCAGATTCGATCCCGAGTGAATGATATAAAGCACTGAGTCTTAAGAAACGAAAGGCGTTGTCCTTTTCACTTTTTAGGGGAGGGGGCGGAGGCGACTTGATGTCGTCGGAATTTCAGAACGACATGATAGTTCATAGTTCTATGTCATGGAGACGAGTGATGTTGACTATTTTAGAACAGAGCAAAAACTTTTCTAAAATGTATTGAGGAGTAATGTTCGAAATTCTAGAGATTATGTCAATTGATGAGTCTTTTCTAATGGTACGATCAGCATGCTGGGAGCAACTGCCCAAGAAAAAAATATCACCTCCTTTGTCCCTTACAGAACTTCCAAGACCGCCTCCTGTGTACCCTAAACACTTCTAACACCGCCTTCTTTGTACCATAAACACTTCCAAGACTGCTTTTTTGTACCATAAAAGCTTCTAATATCGCCTGTTTGTACCATAACACTTCTAAGACCGCCTTCTTTGTACCATAAGCACTTCTACGACCGCTTTCTTTGTACCCTAAACACTTCTACGACCGCCTCCTTTGCCGCTTGCATACTTCCAAGACCGCCTGTTTTGTCCCCTACATACTTCTAAGACCCATCTTGAGGGAAAAAATCAGTGCGCCAGACTCCCCTAACAACTGACAATTCCAGCTCATGCTGGTGGAAAAGAAAAATAACAGCTCTGATCTGATTACGCCTATTTTTACCAGCCTTTGTGCGTGCGGTTGTTCTAGGATTTCAACTTCCAGCTTCATCTTCGTCAGTCGTCAAAGGGGGCAGGGAAGTATAAACAGAGCAGCCACCACGGCTTAGGCCTGATCTATTTAAATAGCAGCGGTTTTGAATTCCTTTTCTACACACCTACGTCAACGCTCTTCCAAACTGAGCGAACGCACGCGTCGGAGGACACACACTGATGGGCCCACCTACAGTGAGACAGAAAAAACCTTATCACCGGCTCTACCTGAATCCTGCACATTCTGTCTTCTTCAAACAAGGTTTTTCCTGAAAAACCGCACAATAAACAGTTCATTCCTGGCTCTGATAATTAACATGTACCCCACCTATTGAGAGCCTGAGAGCCAGCATTGGGCCTTCAGCCTGTCCCATGGGCACCCTGTCTCCTTAATTTAGAAAAAATAATAAATTTCGTTCTAATATTGTGAGAAATCAATATTTTATGGTATTCTGTGATAACTAGCTTCGTTTTTTATCTTTGGGATTAAAACCATTTCCTGGCACTGATGTTAAACTAACAAACGTTTCCGCTTGCACGTTGCGAGAAAGATCAGGTGTGAATCCTAACTTTTGTAGAGAGTACACAGGTGCAAAACGTCCATGGTTCTGGTAGTCATCCGTCTCATACTATCACCATCCGGTTATTCTATCTCTGACAGTCTTTCCTAACTAAACACAGATGAGTCAGGTCCCGCTCCCCGTCTCTCCATCTCCCCTTTTTCTCTAGTTTAACCCTCGCTTTCTTCATCCTCTCTCTCTCTCTCTCTCGCTCAGCCTCTGTCTGTCTGTCTGTCTGTCTGTCTGTCTGTCTGCCTGCCTGCCTGCCT